AAAAATCTTGTCGGCATTAAATAACCCATTGAATTTGATATGCTGTAAAATCAAACAAACCAAATCTTGCATTTCTTTTCTTTGTTCGTTACTGTTATTGTTTTAGTTTTGTTTTTTTTCTTACTTCTTCCTTTACTGTTTTCTTTCTTGACGTGTTCTTTATTTCTTTTTTCCTTTAATTGTAATGCGGTTCTCTCTGGGTTACACATTCTTGATTACACAATCTAGCTTTTTCTTTCTGTGATTTTATTTATTTTTTCTTTACAATTTTCTTTCTGTCGTTTTCTTTCTTTTTTCTTTCTGACACTTTCTTTATTTTTCCACCTGATATTTTCTTTCTTTTTCCCCCTGACATTTTCTTTCTTTTTTCTTTCTGACATTTTCGTTTTTTTTTTCCTCCTGAAGTTTTCTTTCTTTTTTCTTTCTGAAATTTTCTTTCTTTTTCCTCCTGACATTTTCTTTCTTTTTTCTACAGACATTTTCTTTCTTTTTCTTCCTGACATTTTCTTATTTTTTTCCTTCTGATATTTTCTTTCTTTTTTCTTTCTGACATTTTCGTTTTTTTTCCTCCTGACATTTTCTTTCTTTTTCCTTTCTGACATTTTCTTTCTTTTTCCTCCTGACATTTTCTTCTTTTTTTTTTCTTTCTGACATTTTCTTTCTTTTTCCTCCGGACATTTTCTTTCTTTTTTTTTTCTGAAATTTTCTTTCTTTTTCCTCCTGACATTTTCTTTCTTTTTTCTTTCTGAAATTTTCTTTCTTTTTCCTCCTGATATTTTCTTTCTTTTCCTCCTGACATTTTCTTTCTTTTTCTTTCTTTCTTTTTCTTTCTTTTTTCCTAATGACATTTTCTTTCTTTTTTTCTTTCTGACATTTTCTTTCTTTTTCCTTCTGACATTTTCTTTTTTTTTTTTCCTTTTTTTCTGACATTTTCTTTCTTTTTCCTTCTGACATTTTCTTTCTTTTTTTTTCTTTTTTTTTTTCTGAAATTTTCTTTTTTTCCTCCTGACATTTTCTTTCTTTTTTCTTTCTGAAATTTTCTTTCTTTTTCCTCCTGATATTTTCTTTCTTTTCCTCCTGACATTTTCTTTCTTTTTCTTTCTGAAATTTTCTTTCTTTTTTCCTAATGACATTTTCTTTCTTTTTTCTTTCTGACATTTTCTTTCTTTTTCCTTCTGACATTTTTTTCTTTTTCCTTCTGACATTTTCTTCTTTTTCTTTCTGAAATTTTCTTTCTTTTTTCCCTTTCTTTCTATTTTCTTTCTGACATTTTCTTTACTTTTTTTCTTTCTATTTCCGTGTATAGTTCTATCGTTATTAATTACATTGCATATATCAGCTACCAAACTGTTTTCCTCTTATAAAAAAGAAATTCGCCATTGTTACTTGAATTCTAGCATATTTGATGGTGGGAGGTCTAAAGGAAAATGAGCATTGGCCAGCCTTATACGAACATTAAAAATAATTCTAAAAATTTTCAAATATATTAAAATATTTTGTGTTGGTTCCTTATGCGGGTTTCATTTTAAACAAAACAAACATCCAAAGAGCGGCTGACGCGCAGTCCTTTTAGACATACAAAAGGACTGACATTATGTAACATCTCAGTGCATTTTTCTTTGTTTCTAACGAAATATTTCTGTCTCTTAATACTTTACTTAGCTTTTGGAAAGCATCTTTGGATATCCAAATGTGCCCTCAGATTTCAGTGTCACACTTTTCGCCCTCTGTAAAAACACTTTCCAGATATTTAAATTGTTGTACTTGTTTGATTTTGGTATCTCCAATTTGTAATTTGCAAGTTGGGCTGTTTCTTTTGCTAACAGCCATTCGTTTGTCTACTTGTAGTTGATGCTTAGTCTTTCCTTCTTGCTTTTCTTCAGTAACTTCTGCAGGAGTTCTTGCGTCAAACACTAGTCTGATATGTTTTTGATATCTACTCATCTTCGTTTCACCAGGGTATGACGATAAACTACGTCCAGCAGCAAATCTTTGATCGGGAGATTGGAAATTTTCAGGAGCGTGGAACCACCTTCTTAACTGTTGTTGTTCCCAGTTTCACCTTGGCCCGGGATGGTAGCACCTGTTAGTGTCCCAGCTATGGGTAAATATTGAACGTCTAACCAAAAATCAACTGTACATTTTCATAGTAAAATGAGCATAATGTAATTTTATAGCCAAATCATCTGTACATTTTTATAGTAAAATAAACATAATGTAATTTTTATAACAAAATGGCAATCAATGCAACATTAAAAAAGTATGAAAAAACATTTTTTTATAAAAAAATTACCAGTAATAGATTTTTATAGTGTCATTATCAGCAATACATTAAAAAAAACTACCGACAATATACTTTATGACCTATAAACTATATATCTAAAAAACATACCCTGAAAGTATCACATTATGTACCGAATAACTGTAGTTGAAAACGTAAAATTACATATATTTAGATTTCAGTATTAAATAACCCATAAAGGAAATATTTACCGTACCCCTCCATCCCCCCCACACACACAGAGACGGGATGTGACAGAAAGTCGGGTTTAATGTGGGGGACCCGAGTACGTACACTCGGGCCAAGAACATAAAATTGCATGTTAATAATTATTTTAGCAGATTATTATTTTTTAGGGAGAATGGTATCTCTGCTCGGACTTCCTGAGGTTGACCTTTGAGGTCGGATTGAAGACAGAATAGGGAAGTCAATTTTGATTGTCTGAGCTAGCGTTGAAGAAGAGATAGATAGTGAAAGGCTTTTCAGTGATTTGAGTTTGAACCGTCAAAAAAAGTAGACGTGCTGACGTTCGTGTCTGAAACGTCTACCCAGGAGGAGGAACGACCCCCCCCCCCACTGTATAGTAAGAAAATGTAAACTTCGACGATATTAATAAAACTAAAACTCCCTGCGTTGAGTCTTGCATCTCGGAACCAAAATATTTAAAGATCACCGGCAAAGAGAAGACGAGAAGGGGCCACGCCCACCAGGAGGTTATGTATCATGCCCAACCCCTGCAATCATCGTTTGCGCTGGTATCAGTATGACTATCGATTCTTCCTCTAGGGCAATTGAGGGCAGCCTCGGACAGCTGCTCCCTGAGACTGGGCACCTCAGAGATTTATTTTTCCCAGCTGTGTCGTTGTCTGCAGAGAGAGTCACAAATGAGTCGCACTCTACCCGAGGACAGAGAGGCAACTGGGTCGCGGATGGTGAATAAGCATAATAACCCATACAGGTTGATAAACCATACCGCTAACCAATCAACCACTTTGTTGTTGTTATCAATGCAAATAATGTAAATAATGATACTTCCTCATTTCAGAAATTCAGGTAGATATATATTTCTGTATTATATATTTCATATTCATAGGTAACCTGTTAGCTAGCTAGGTTTACGATATGTTTTCGTTTCTTCATATATCCGTCTAAAATTGTTTTACAGTTGGTTCGTTTTCTTTTTTTTTCCCTTTGTGTTATCAACATTACTTGTTTTTCTTTTCGCATATTTTTTTCATATTTTGTTCTTTTTACGCTTTTTCCTTCCGCTTTTCTTTTCCTTTTGTTACTTTCATTTTTTTCACCCGATATTTCCTTCTTTTCAATCAAATCTTTTCGAATGTTGCTCGATATTATTCATTTCCCAATTTCTTCATTTTAGTTTTTCCTCTACATTCAACTTCTCACCCTTTCTCCAAATCATTTACCAATTTACGCTCTCATTCATGTCAGAAGCGAATTATTCATTTTTATATTCTCCTTCCATTTGCTTCACAGGATTCTGTAAAACCCCAGTCAAAGACTTCAGCCAAAAGCAACAAAGCGTAAATCTCACACGCCATGACAGGTTCAGATAATGGCGCCCAGAGTAGCCATAAATTCTTTTTTTTATTTTTCTTATTTACTTTCACTATTGTTCTGAGTCTGATAAATAGAAAAGAAACGTGTAAAAAAGAGAAAACATATGTGTACAAGGAAACCAAGAGAATACCTGACACAAAATATCAAACTGTGTCCCAAATTTGTTGATGATAGGCAAAATACGCTCCACCAGTTCACTGACCAAAAGTCTATAGCAACAATATGATGACAAATTCTTTTTAATATAAGAGGCATGCAAATATATAGACAACAGTGTACATGTAGGAGTGCATATAAATATAAGGATGAATCTACACAATCAAATATTTCGGAATATTTTTGGTGAAATCAGATTCAGATATTAGTGGGGTATTATAATGTCAGGACTTAAGAGATTTACTTTTTTTAATAAGTCATATATCTTTTTAACTTCAAATTTTATTTTTAGTGGAAACCCGTTTTTTTTTTTATTAGACGCCGTTTTTTAGACAGTGTATAAAATTTACTAAAGGACTCCAGTTTGCAAGTCGGTAGATGTAATACACACTGTTTGTAAAACCCTCAAAAATCGGTATACACTAAAAATAATCTTTGAAGTACTGCCGTGATAGTCTGGGGTAGGATCTTTGACTGGTGTCAAATCGGTCGGGTTTGGATCCCAGCCTGAACCAATCGGAGCCACAATACCCACATTGAAGGAAACAGTATCTATGTGGATGACACTATATATATATATATATATATATATATATATATATATATATATATATATATATATATATTTTTAAAAAGAAAAAACAGACCACTTTAAGGTACCATTATAATAATTTATTTCACCGGCGTCTTTTAAAAGGGCTCTGGTGAAATAAATTATTATAATTTAAAGTGGTCTGTTTTTCTTTTAAATATTAGCTCTGTATTTACATTGAGCTCTTGGGATTTCATCCTCCTTGGGATTACCCATACGGATTACCAAGCTTTCTTCATAACAACTATATATATATATATATATATATATATATATATATATATATATAGTGTCACCTATATATATATATATATATATATATATATATATATATATATATATTTTGTGTGTGTGTGTATGTTCAGATATATGTGCGTGTGTGAGTTGTTTTTACGGCCACATCACGTCGAAACACCGGTTCCCGTATGATCTCTGAAGTTAAGCAACGTCGAGCATGATCAGTAGCTTGATAGGTGATCGCTTGAGAACACTAGGTGCTGTAAGCTTGTATGTGTGAATGTTGTAATGGTTAATCCATCGCAGTGCAAAGTTTCAATTTCCGTTCGTTATATTTACTTACATGCAAATATCTTTGGAAACAGTATGAATCCATCACTTCTCCTCAGCTATGGGTTAATTAGTAAGACTTGGTTTATTAAACTATTAATATCTAAAAAAACCTTCTTTCAATCTAAAAATATATTATTGCGTTATATAAGCTACAAATGGTTAATAAGTCGTAGAAAACATATCAATCAATCAATGTGCAGTCGCGCGTCTGTGTACATAGGAATCAACACTGCATAGTGTCTGTCAGTTTCATGCTATCGTACGGCCTTCAGACCAAATTTTATATCTATAAACACTGTATTTTCGATCTTGAGTACCTTTTCTTCATAAGTATAACATTTTTAACACTATATATATATATATATATATATATATATATATATATATATATATATATATATATTGAGTAGTTAGGCAGCATTTTTCATTAATGCATGTTTCATTTAATAATATAGATAGATTTTGTCTATTTATTTTAAGCAAATTCCTTTCATATCGTCTGATAAGCTTAATAACATTATCATTGACGAAAGAAAATCACCATATTGATACATTATCAAGACGAAAGAAAATCACCATATTGATACATGTTTTTTAATCCTATCTAAGCTTTCGGCTTACATAAGCTATCATCAGAAATGACAAATACATTACAATAAATTAAACAATACACGGGCATAGCAACAAGGTTGTGTTCAATGTTTCTTTGGCTATTTCAGACGATATGAAAGGAATTTGTTTAAAATAAATAGACAAACTTGTCTATATTATTTAACGAAACATGCATTATATATATATATATATATATATATATATATATATATATATATATATATATATATATATTAAAGAAAACAGACCCGTTGGTAGGGCCAAAAGCCTAAACTCTTAGATATAGTCTAAAATAAAGAAGACGAAAATGAAAAAAGAAAGAGAAAGAAAAGCAAATTTACCTACTCAGTAAAGTGTTCGAAGCCCGGATTGCCTTGATTGAGCAAAAAATGCTTATCAACGTTAAATCTTATGAAAGGACTGCTAATGCCGTGATCCGTGTTTCACGTACAAGCGATCTTCGGACGACTTAAAACATATATTAATGTATATCTGGCCAGCAACCTTTCTATTAAACATGTTTCGTTGAATATAACAAGGAAAATTTTATTTAGTTTTTGCCGTATTTTTTATATTTTCCAGTTTTCTGGGTATAAAGAAGTGCTAAAATTGTTAGTATTCTCCATTGTCCCAAGCGCATTCGGACATGTTTTATCGACAGTTTTAAGGAGGTGTATTTATTTGTTGTTAATTTCTTGAGACAAATCCTTCTCTATCACAAAAGAAAAATTCAGTAATAGATAACTACACATAGCTTTTGCCTTACCAAGATGTTGATCTCAGAAAGAGATGGAAAGTACTTGAGTAATAAAAGTGATTCTCACTGTTACACTGCATTTATTGCCCCATTTAAATATGTAATATAGAGTTCGGTCTTGGGCCCATTGCTTTATACAATGTTGGTTTCTGAGCTTGGTGCTATTGTAGAGAGAGGTAAATATCACATGTACGCAGATCAGTTGTATTATTTATGCCTAATATGAAAAATAACGGAAACCATTTCTAACATAATCAATGATCTTGAACGAATTATGGATTATTCAAAAAAAGAATTGTTTAAAATTAAACGCTAAAAATGTAGATTTATTTTAATTGGATCACGTTGTAATCTTAGAAAGGTAAAAGGTGATTAGCTTGATCCAATGATTATCGATGAAGAATTTTTGAAGTGAAAACTCAAGGTATTGCATTCGATGAGGAATTGACCTGAACCAGGCAGGTAAACTTGGCTATTGCTAAGGCATAGGTAAACTAAAAAATGCATTATGGCTCAAATACGTTTAAGCAACAATTAATTAAAACGTACATTCTGCATTTAATTGTGGTGATTTTCTTATGCAATATGTACATGAATAGTTGCAAAATAAAATTAAAAAATTACAGAACAGATATATTCGTTCCGTTTTTCATTTTCATTTAAGTGCCATTTTAAAGATAAATAGCATTTTAAATATGAAGAACAGGCGACTGCTGCATAGCCTCGTTTTAATGTTCAATATAAAAAAAAACAATAAAGCGCCCGTATTGAACCGTATTAAGACTAGTAGTGAAATACATTGATATTTCACTAGAAATAGATGCCAAATGGATCCGCCATTTGCTAAGACGAAACTAAGGCGTATGTCTTTTTTTGTCTTGATATGTAATAAATTCAATGAAATTTCAAAAGCTATTAATATTAAAATTATTTCTTTGTACGGATCTAAAAAAATATAATGGGAAATATTTATTGGATTCGCAATCATTTTTTATTGTTCTTATAAATAATTATTAAAGTATTTTCTTGTCTGGTAGGTTTCAGCTCCTCATTGGCTTTTACCAACACCTTCTACATGTGTATGTATATGTATTTCAATTTTTTTTAGGGTGATCAGCACAAGTACCACTGTTGTTTTATTGATTTTTTATTGATGTGTTTTACTGCTCTGTTTTCTGTATTTTGCAATTTTTTCTTCTTTTTTACTTCCTCTTATTGTCACGAAAAAAATAAATTAGGGAGCTGGGCGGGAGAGTAGATTATAGATATATCCTCGCTCCCGTTTAAAGTCTGTGTACATTTTTTAAAAATTTTATATTAAATAAAGACGGTTTATTATTATTATTATTATTATTATTATTATTATTAATAATATACAGAAAATATTCATGAATATGAAAAATTATGATCAAATTAAGCAGACATAACGTTTGTAACTTTTTTTGTAACTTATTCAAACATGCTTGAAACGGAATTTGCTGCCTAAACACACACACACACACACATATATATATATATATATATATATATATATATATATATATATATATATATATATATATATATTATTTAAGAATACACAAAGGCACATACACACATTTCATTCTTTAGTTTTTGACCTGATGAAGATTCTAAACCCTAGGCTACCGACGCTCGGCAGTGAGAAATGCGAATTTTTGAGTACTTGATTTTTCATAAAACGCCAGTGACCTAAAGGACTCAATCTGTTGGGAGCGTCTTGCATAATCATCAGTAATAGTCACCGTTTACAAATTTGATCTTCTCCCCACAGTGCTCGGGCGAATTAATTTATTTTCGGGGGCTAATGACGTTTGAATATATATATATATATATATATATATATATATATATATATGTGTGTGTGTGTGTGTGTGTGTGGAGAGGGAGAGAGAGATTTCAATTTTATTTTTATTTTTAGTGTATAACGGTTTTTTGGAGTTTTTAAATAGTGTGTATTACGTCTACCGGCATGCGCACTACTTACGCAAGGTAATTGAGACTAAATTATATGTATATTTTCGAATAATTTGCTGAAATATGCAACACAGAAAAACAATATCAGTTATTCAATAAAACCATACGCAAGAATGACCTCAGTATTCCCGGAACAGATCAAGAGTTTCTCCTGCATGTTGCCAATGACAGCCACAATGGCAGTCTTCAATGATACCTTATTATTGTGACTTTGCTGGTTGGTCTTCAACCTAGCTCGTCGATTCAAATCAAGTAAACTTAAGATTCTAGACGATGGGGTGACAAATTTATAGAAAACTCCGGCGTGACGTGAACGTTCTGAGAGTGAAGAGACTTCAACTGGATACACGCATTGATAAAAGGATTTTTCACTACCTCTGTGTAAGTTGTAATAGTTTTAACTATGACGTCCTGCCAGAAAGTTGGTATGTCATGACATCGTTTTCGGTGTGGGGGGGTCATAAACACTCACAGAAGAAGTGAGCTAAGAATGCTTCAACATTGCTTCCTTCAGGCAGTTCTCTTGTCTGCCTGTTGCTTACCTGGCCGATTTCAAGAAGATTGTTGTCTGCGAGTCTTTGTGATTGGCGGTTAGTGCCGACTGGAAATTGTCATGTTAATGCTTTTTATACATCTGAAAGGGAAACGAGTTTGCATACCACACAGCATTACGTTGAGTTGTCTTCTATTCATGTCTTGCTAAAAGTATGTTCCCAAATACCCGGCGCAATCTTTATAACAGTTTATTTAAAACAGTTCATATGAATAAGGACAGAGCCATAATTGCTAATAATTTATGACCAATAAAGACAAGCATGTTCATGTCCTCAGAATATATTGAATAAGAAACAGCTCACAAATTTGCTTGCTACATTTTTTGCTTTTCTGTTTTTAGTATTTGCTTAGTTTTATTTTTTTCTTCGACCATTGCCTATGATCAGTGTTTGAAACCAGAGATTTGAGTGACAACATTAAAGACAAGTTTTCCCTGAAAGTGTAGCCCTTTACAATCTTTTTTACCCTTTCATTCTCCGCACATGTACGCTTTATTAATATCAAAACATACCAACGAATAATAGGTTGATAGATTTAGACAGTCGTGCGCATGCGTCCCTACTCAAGCCAGACTGCATGACCTCTCTTTACTTTACACATTTTTTTGTCCGTATCTTTTTGTGTTGTATTGCATCCGAGACGGTCGTTCGCATTTATTGCTAAATGACAAGGTATGGTTGGAGTGAAGTGCCGGCTCCGATGAATTAGACACGCTTGGCTAGGCATAAGGCGAGCCAGTCGATCGGTAGCGACACGGTTACATTTATGGTTGTTTCTTATGAAGTTTTGCTTCGGAGAAGGTGGGGAAGGGGGAATTACTTTTGATCTAGGAAATTAATAGGCTTAATGCAACAACCTGCTTATCACATGCTCCTCAGTATGTACGGATACATATATGTACATATGTGTGCGTGTATGTATGTATATATGGATGTATATGCGAATATGTGCAGGTGGTGCAATCGTTAACGTTTCGTAAACCGAATTCGAATTTCAATCGTTCGTTATATTCAAT